ATTCTTTTTTATAGCTTCCAGTTCTCTGCTGAATTTCCTGTCTTACAAATATTCATTTAATTTAAATTCCATGTCAGATAATCTTAATATCTGAATCTCTTATGGGTCTTTTTTCTACTGATGTTTCCCCTTAAAAAAATCTTGTTCTTTTTATAGGCCTGTTTTTTTTTTTTTAAAATGATTGCTAACACTACAAACAAGAAATTATAGACATCACATGAGGTTCTGTATGATATTTTTTTTATAAAGGAAAGCTTATGTCAAGGCTTCAGTAGTCTTATAAATATCCAAAAATAGACATCAAAAAGCTGAGCAAAAACTGGGGAAATGGGTTATGGACCTGAAACTGGGGACCAAGCTGTCCCATCCATCTCTCAGGGAACTGCATGTCCCATATCTGCTTCTTGCTCCTGCTCTTTGTTAATCAGCTTTTATTTCTGACTTACTAGCATATTGTTGTTGTTGTTGTTGTTGTTCAGTTGCTCAGTCATGTCCGACTCTTTGTGAACCCATGGACTGCAGCATGCCAGGCGTCCCTGTCCTTCACCATCTCCTGCAGTTTGCTCAAACTCATGTCCATTGAGTCAATGATGCCATCCAATATAAACAATGCAAAATGTCAACCTACCCCAAATCTTCATGACATTATAGATCTCATACTCACCTATATCTTCCTAACTGACTCAGTACATCTTAGTTCAAATTTCTGAGGAAGAGGATATAAAAGACTTAGCCAAGTCTATGGCTGATTGGCACCTGCTGGAACAGGTGTGTACCTCAGGTCCAGTCACCATAGGTGGAGAGGTGTGAACTCACATGATCCAAAAAGGCAGCAAGATCAAGTTTAGAAGTAAGGCTCAGCAGGAACTTGCCTGGTGGTCCAGTGGTTAAGAATGTGCCTTCCAATGCAGGGGATGTGGGTTCAATCCCCAGTCAGGGAAATAAGATGCCACATGCCATGGGGCAACTAATCCCATGTGCCCTTGCCCCACAATAAAAGATCCCACATGCCACAAACAAGACCTCAGGCAGTCAAATTAATAAATAAATTTTAAAAAGAAGTCTCAGTAGAAACCAAAGATACTCATATCTAGTATGAAAACATTGTCAGCATCACTAGACTTTGTGTTATCTTCTTCCTTTGGGCTTCCCAGGTGGTTTTAGTGGTAAAGAACCCACCTGCCAGTGCAGGAGATATAAGAGATGTAGGTTCAATCCCTGGGTCAGGAAGGTCCCCAGAGGAGGCTATGGCAAACACTCCAGTGTTCTTGCCTGGAGAACCCTACGGACAAAGCAGCTTGGCGGGCTACAGTTCACAGGGTGGCAAAGAGTTGGTCACAACTGAAGCAACTTAGCACACATGGACACACTTCATCTGTTAGCTTTTCTGAAGATAAATTACATCTCTGCTTTTAATTTGACTTTTGTCATGAGTGAATAGAATTTGACTTCATATATGTATCCCTCGTGGATGACATATTTTTCCAGAGAATTTACTTCTGGTTCTGTCAGGCTGTTAGAGGCCATTACCTTAATTCCATGAGGGACTGAACTGATTTGGAACTGAGTTTTAGTCCTGTGAGTACTGGTCTATTTCCAGCTCATCCTTATTCATAGGCAGCCTTGACTCTCACAGCTTCTCAGGGCCCTAACCTTAGATCTGGTGACCAGAGCTCATCCTCCTGGGCACACTCTGCACTCCGGGAATTGTGTCACCCCCTCCCCATGAGACCTTCCAAAGCTCTGGGTCCCTCAGCCTCTGCTTTCACTTTCATGCTTGAGAACTGCCTGGAGGGAAAAAGATGAGCCTTGAATACCAGGCTCATTTCTCTTGGCTTCTTTCTTCTTCTAGATCTTTGCCTAACAAATGTTCACTTCTTTGGTAGCTTTTCAATTCCTTCAAATAGATTTTTAATATTTTGCCTATCTTGTCTAGCTATTCTTAGCTTGCAGGAGGTTGTCCAAGACAACTTAGCCACTGCAGGAAGCCAAACTTCGTATGTCATCCATGTACTTCCCAAGAATGTTATCATTTTAGAATAAGAATTGGTCTTATTCCTGAGATCTTTGGACACTCCATATTATGGAAGATCTTATAGCTAACTTTTATATTAATTGTCTCACCTGATGCTTTTTCTCAACAGCTTTCTGAAAATATAAGCCCATATGGCACATTTTCTGCTCTTGCACCTTGTCTCAAAGAGAGATCCCAAGCTCAGGGTGAGCAACCTGTGAATGTGGAACAGTGTTATCTAAGTCTTATCCAGCTTTGGTGTGGCGAGTGGGATAATGATGACAATGCTTCTTTCTCTGCTTCTTAAATGTGTCGTGCCTATGACAAGATCATAGTCCTGGGGTCAGGACATGAGATCCATTCTTCCATTTCCTTCCACTCACCATCAGTTCTATTTCTAGATTTCTCCCCACTGGAGTGACTGTCTCCTACCAAAGGTCTTGGTCTTCTACACTTCTTTCCTCCCTCCAGGACATCCTTCAACATCTCCTGTATGCCAGGCAGGAATCTAGCCCTGGAGCTGGACCACTGGAGCATCCCTGGGTGAGTCCTCTTTACCTAAGTGGTCATTAATTGCCTTTATATCTTAGTATATCTCATTCCCTGCCTTGGAAAATTTGACCTCCTCTGATAGGCTGTATATTGTCACCCTGCTGATTTAACTTATATGCAGAACACATCTTGAGAAACGCTGGGCTGGAGGAAGCACAAGCTGGAATCAAGATTGCCGGGAGAAATATCAATAACTTCAGCTATGCAGATGACACCACCCTTATGGCAGAAAGTGAAGAAGAACTAAAAAGCCTCTTGATGAAAGTGAAAGAGGAGAGTGAAAAAGTTAGCTTAAAGCTTAACATTCAGAAAACTAAGATCATGGCATCTGGTCCCATCACTTCATGGCAAATAGATGGGGAGACAGTGGAAACAGTGTCAGACTTTATTTTTTTGGGCTCCAAAATCACTGCAGATGGTGACTGCAGCCATGAAATTAAAAGATGCTTACTCCTTGGAAGGAAAGTTATGACCAACCTAGACAGCATATTAAAAAGCAGAGACATTACTTTGCCAACAAAGGTCCATCTAGTCAAGGCTATGGTTTATCCAGTGGTCATGTATGGATGTGAGAGTTGGACTGTGAAGAAAGCTGAGCACCGAAAAATTGATGCTTTTGAACTGTGGTGTTGGAGAAGACTCTTGAGAGTCCCTTGGACTGCAAGGAGATCCAACCAGTCCATCCTAAAGGAGATCAATCCTGGATGTTCATTGGAAGGACCGATGCTGAAGCTGAAACTCCAATACTTTTGCCACCTGATGCGAAGAGCTGACTCATTGGAAAAGACCCCAATGTTGGGAAAGATTGAGGGCAGGAGGAGAAGGGGACAACAGAGGATGAGATGGTTGGATGGCATCACCGACTCAATGGACATGGGTTTGGATGGACTCCAGGAGTTGGTGATGGACAGGGAGGCCTGGCGTGCTGCAGTTCATGGGGTTGCAAAGAGTCAGACACGACTGAGCGACTGAACTGAACTGAACTGATGCTTGTTCCAAACTAGTAAGGAGTCATCTAGTATTCCTGGTATTGTGATTTTGAGGCACAGCCTACCCCCTTGTCCCACTTTTCCTTTATATTCCACCAGCTGATCCCGTCCAGTGCCCCCAAATAATCTCACAGATGCTATCCTCCACTGTGCCTGCAGCTCAAAAGCCATAGAAAGCCCTGGCTGATTACATCACTTCAGGAACTTACGAAGTTTCTCATGTCTGCTTCAGTCTTCCCCTGCTACCTTCTTATCAGTTAGTCAGTCATGTCTGATTCTTTGCCACCCCATGGACTGTAGCACAACAGGCCTCCCTGTCCATCACCAACTCCTAGAACTTACTCAAACTCATGTCTATCGAGGTGGTGATGCCATCCAACCACCTCATCCTCTGTAATCCCCTTCTCTTCCTGCCTTCAATCTTGCCCAACATCAGGGTCTTTTCCAATGAGTCGGTTCTTCGCATCAGGTGGCCAAAATATTGGAGTTTCAGCTTCAGCATCAGTCCTTCCAATGAATATTCAGGACTGATTTCCTTTAGGATTGACTGATTGGATCTCCTTGCAGTCCAAGGGACTCTCAAGAGTCTTTTCCAACACCACAGTTCAAAAGCATCAGTTCTTCAGTGCTCAGCTTTCTTTATGGTCCAACTCTCACATCCGTATGTGACGATTGGAAAAACCATAGCTTTGACTAGATGGACCTTTGTTGGCAAAGTAATGTCTCTGCTTTTTAATACACTGTTTAGGTTTGTCATAGTTTTTCTTCCAAGGAGTCTTTTAGTTTCATTGCTGTGGTCACCATCTGCAGTGATTTTTTTGGAGCCCAAGAAAATGAAGTCTGTCACTGTTTCCATTGTTTCTCCATCTATTTGCCATGAAGTGACAGGACTGGATGGCATGATCTTAGTTTTTTGAATGTTTGAGTTTTAAGCCAGCTTTTTCATTCTCCTCTTTCACTTTCATCAAGAGGCTCTTTAGTTCTTCTTCACTTTTTGCTCTAATGCTGGTACCATCTCTATATCTGAGGTTATTGACATTTCTCCCAGCAATTGTGACTGCAGCTTGTGTTTCATCCAGCCTGGCATTTTGCATGATGTACTCTGCATACAAGTTAAATAAGATGGGTGACAATATACAGCCTTGACGTACTCCTTTCCCAATTTGGAGCCAGTCTTATACCTCAAGTATAAACTTCTTATACTTGAGGTCATTCCACCCCAGTCTGATGACTGCTACACAGGGATGGGGCTGACTGCAGGACTGGTCTGGATTTGAAGGCTGGTAGGAATGGCAACTCAGCTCAGCTATGGAAACTTCCCACTTTGTTTTCTATCATCCCTCCACCTGGAAAACAATGCAACGTATATGCAAGCCTTTGGAGATGTATGATAGTTCAAGCTAGGGGAACTGGGTTCATTGGCCCTCCCTTATTTCTCAAAAGGCATGTCCAGAGATGGGTGGTCTCAGCAGTCTGCAAAGAGAGCGGAGTTTTCCAGGTCAGAAGAGGCTGACTTCCAAATCTCACTGCTTTTCATATCAGTCGGGGGCTGCAGCCTACCAGCCATGGCACCTAGACTGAATGTCCTGGATCCATCACTTCTTGCTGTGCCAGTCACACAGCCTGCTGCTGCTGCTGCTGCTAAGTCGCGTCAGTTGTGTCCAACTCTGTGCAGCCCCATAGACGGCAGCCCACCAGGCTCCCCCGTTCCTAGGACTCTCCAGGCAAAAACACTGGAGCGGGTTGCCATTTCCTTCTCCAATGAATGAAAGTGAAAGTGAAGTCGCTCAGTCATGTCTGACTCTGTGACCCCATGGACTGCAGCCTACAAGTCTCCTCCGTCCATGGGATTTTCCAGGCAAGAGTACTGGAGTGGGATGCCATTGCCTTCTCCAGTTACACACCCTAGTCTCATTTTTACTTTTCATTTCTCTCAGGGCAATGAAACTTATTTCTTAATCATCTGTTCTCATTCTGTCTAGGGGCTCTTTCAAACTTTCATCTCTCTACCTCTTCTCTCCCTCTCATTAGAAATCTTTCCATCAGTCCCCGAGAAAATGAAAACAAGGAGAGAAACCTTCATGACCTCCTACCCATTTACAAGAATCTTCCATCTTCTGCTCTTCTTGGGAAAATTGGTCCAACTGGTCCCTCTAGTAAATCTCTACCTATGTTTTGGAATCTTTTCTCCTTATTCCTTCAGTCCTTCACTCCAACATCATCTCTTGTCTCTCCTTTATTATGTCAACTTAAAAAAGTCACAACGTAGAAATTGAGTCACTCAGCCAGTTCAGTCGTGTCTGATTCTTTGCAACCCCATGAACCATGGCACACCAGGCCTCCCTGTCCATCACCAACTGCCAGAGTCTACCCAAACCCATGTCCATTGAGTCGGTGATGCCATCCAACCATCTCATCCTGTCATCCCCTTCTCCTACTGCCCTCAATCTTTCCCAGCAGCAGGGTCTTTTCAAATGAGTTAGCTCTCCACATCAGGTGGCCAAAGTATTGGAGTTTCAGCTTCAGCATCAGTCCTTCCAATGAACACCCAGGACTGATCTCCTTTAGGATGGACTGCTTGGATCTCCTTGCAGTCCAAGGGACTCTCAAGAGTCTTCTCCAACACCACAGTTCAAAAGCATCATTTCTTCAGTGCTCAGCTTTCTTTACAGTCCAAGTCTCACATCCATATATAACTACTGGAAAAACCATAGCCTTGACTAAATGGACCTTTGTTGACAAAGTAATGTCTCTGCTTTTTAATATGCTATCAGGTTGGTCATAACTTTCCTTCCAAGGAGTAAGCGTCTTTTAATTTCATGGCTGCAATCACCATCTGCAGTGATTTTGGAGCTCAAAAAAATAGTCTGACACTGTTTCCACATCTATTTGCCATGAAGTATAGGACCAGATACCAAGATCTTAGTTTTCTGAATGTTGAGCTTTAAACCAACTTATTCACTCTCCTCTTTCACTTTTATCAAGAGGCTCTTTAGTTCTTCTTCGCTTTCTGCCATAAGGGTGGTGTCATCTGCATATCTGAGGTTATTGATATTTCTCCTGGCAATCTTGATTCCAGCTTGTGCTTCCTCCAGCCCAGCATTTCTCATGATGTATTCTGCATATAAGTTAAATAAGCAGGGTGACAATATACAGCTTTGATGTACTCCTTTTCCTATCTGTACCAGTCTGTTGTTCCATGTCCAGTTCTAACTACTGTTTCCTGACCTGCATACAGGTTTCTCAAGAGGCAGGTCAGGTGGTCTGGTATTCCCATCTCCTTCAGAATTTTCCATAGTTTATTGTGATCCACACAGTCAAAGGCTTTGGCATAGTCAATAAAGCAGAAATAGATGTTTTTCTGAAATTCCCTTGCTTTTTCGATGATCCAGCAGATGTTGACAATTTGATGTCTGGTTCCTCTGCCTTTTCTAAAACCAGCTCAAACATCTGGAAGTTCACGGTTCACGTATTGCTGAAACCTGGCTTGGAGAATTTTGAGCATTACTTTACTAGCTTGTGAGATGAGGGCAATTGTGTGGTAGTTTGAGCATTCTTTGGCATTGCCTTTCTCCGGGATTGGAATGAAAACTGACCTTTTCCAGCCTGCTGAGTTTTCCAAATTTGCTGGCATATTTGAGTGCAGCACTTTCACAGCATCATCTTTCAGGATTTGAAATAGCTCAACTGGAGTTCCATCACCTTCACTAGCTTTGTTTGTAGTGATGCTTCCTAAGCCCTACCTGACTTCACATTCCAGGATGTCTGGCTCTAGGTGAGTGTGATCACACCTTCATGATTATCTGGGTCATGGAGATCTTTTTTGTACAGTTCTTCTGTGTATTCTTGCCACCTCTTCTTAATATCTTCTGTTTCTATTAGGTCCATACCATTTCTGTCCTTTATTGAGCCCATCTTTGCATGAAATGCTCCCTATCAACGGAGGTTCATGACATTGTACAGGAGACAGGAATCAAGACCATCCCCAAGAAAAAGCAAAAAAGCAAAATGGCTGTCTAAGGAGGCCTTACAAATAGCTGTGAAAAGAAGAGAAGCGAAAAGCAAAAGGGGAAAAGGAAAGATATTCCCATTTGAATGCAGAGTTCCAAAGAATAGCAAGGAGAGATAAGAAAGCCTTCCTCAGTGATCAGTGCAAAGAAATTGAGAGTTATGTTTTATTTGCTGTGAATTTTTAGGATTTCAAGCCTGGAAGACAGCATCTCAAGTAACCCTGAAAGAACTGTTCCAAGCAGGCAGGGGAAGGAGTCAGGTTATATCAAAGTGTGCAACAAACATCAAGGATTATTGTGAATTAAGGAAAAGCAGGTATCTATCTCAAATTAAGGAATATAGCACTCTTCTTTGTATGGGAAGATACAAATGTCTAGGTACACTGAAATCACTCCCTTCATATGCATCTCGGCTATCTGGGGCCAGCACCCTGCTTCGGGTTTCTCACAGCCTTAGTCCCGTCTGCACACTCACTGCAGTGTAAGCAGTCGCAGTGGCGGACTGCAGGCAGTGCTCTCCGTTTGAGCACACTTGGGGCTCAGACATTCACACCCGGAGCCCCAAATCGCCGATGGCCGCAACATCCTTGTTTACTGATATGGCAGGAAATACTCCATTTCACATCCTGAGAGTATTTCAAATTCAAAAAAGGACGGAAAAGTGGATTGTTCACTGATTATAGGAACACATAACTGCTAGAACTCGTTTTTAAACTTGTCTCTATTGATCAATGACAATTTTGTATCGGGACCCACATGTGGTACTTCAACTTAAAAGAACAGTATGTTTGGTCTTTGTCCCAGTTCCTGACATAGAGCTCCTAAAATCCCTGGGATTCCTCTAAGTGAACAGAAATTATGGTGTCTTTTATTATGTCAATGAGATGCCTTTTAGAAAGTCCCTAAAGGGCCTGCTTGCCAGGGGATCCACCCCTGTGATTAGAGGGTTGGAATTTCTAGTCTAAACCCCTCATCTCCAGAGAAGAGCTGGAGATTGCATTCAATCACCAATAGCCAATGATTTAACCAATCAGGGCTGTTATGAAGCCTCTTTAAAAACTCGAAAGGACAGACTTCAGAGAGCTTTCATGAACACGTGAAGATTTGGGGAGAGTGGTGCACTCAGGAAGCATGGGAGCTCCATGCCCCACATACCTTGCCCTTTGCGTCTCTTCCGTTAGGCTGTTTCTGAGTTACATTCTTTTATAATAAACTGGAAAAGGAAGGAAGGGGCTTCCCAGGCGATGCAGTAAAGAATCCACCTGCCAATGCAGGAGACACAGGTTCGATCCCTGGGTCAGAAGATCCCCTAGAGAAGAAAATGGCAACCACTCTAGTATTCTTGCCTGGGAAAACCCATGGACAGAGGAGCCTGGAGGGGATACAGCCCATGGGGTCCCAAAAGAGTCCGACACAACTCAGTGACTAAACAACGACATTGGAAGCGACTATTTCTCCAAGTTCTATGAATCACTATAGCAAATTAATTGAACCTAATGAAGAGTTGTGGGAGATTTAGCAAATTATAGCCGGTTAGTTAAAAGCACAGGTGACAACCTGGACTGGAATTGGCATTTGAAGCGCAGTAGGGGTGCTGTCTTGCAGGACTGAGCCCTCAGTCTGTGGGATCTAACACTCTCTCTGGGTAGATCATGTCAGAACTGAACTGCTTGGTACTGTTGGAAAACACCCACACACCAGACCATGCCTTTGGAAGGAGCCCCAAACTTCTGAAATTGACTAATTAGCAATAAATAGCCTTACTCCAGTGACCTCAATTCCTTGACTGATGCTCAACAAATCCCTAAAATGCCCACTTCTGAAAAACTGGCCAAACCTGAACTCCAGTTTCTCCCAAACTCTTAACAAAATTAGCAGGAGAAGGGCACCAGTAAGTCCATCAGAGAACCCAGCAGCGCACAGAGAGCTTACACGCCTCCATCCTCCTCCAGGCCAACTCTCTCCACACCGTGCGGGCACCCCAGCAAATCCTGGATAGAGACATCCACCTGAGTTTACACCTCGGCTCCCCCACCTTCCAGCTATGTGACTTAGGACAAGTCACTCAAACGCTCTGAACTTCAGTTTCTTCTATGTATGTATTTCCAGGAAATCAGGAAACAGCACATGGTCTGACTGGCCGCCTTCTCTTCCAAAAGGAGCTACATGATGTCATTAAGTCAACAACTGGCCTTCCCGACTGCATCCCTCGAATCCAATACAGCCTGCTGGTGACCAGATCTCAAAACAAAAATCTACACATAAACACTTGACAATGGTGTGCTAAAGTAATGACAATCATTGCGATGGACTAAAAAGATTCTGCCACCTCCGCTGATATCTTTGTGTGTACACTGCTGCACCTCCTTAGGGACAGTCCTTGGATGAGTCCCTATAATGCCCGACTCTCCAAAAGGAACACTCAGCTCCAAGTGAGTCAGTGTCTTTCTGGCCTTCCACGTATAACTGATAAGGTGCCACTTATACCCAATCAGCATAAGACCTTCCATCCAGAGGTCCTCCCTAATTCTTCAGTCTGTTGATTTTCTATTTATCCCAGTCCCCTCTCTGCACGCTTATAAAATTGAATTCTTATGTTCTCAATTTCACATAGGAATTCTGCCTCAACATAAAATTCAAGGTAATAAAGACAATGATTAAACTGAGAATCTGAAAATCAACCTTGATGGGGGAGTAATAAGGTTTGAAAGGATTTCTGAGCACTTTAAAGCATGCAGAATAGGTTATTCAAAGCCATCGAGTATTTTAAGGAGTGATTCTGGGAACTTATGTGATGAAGTATTAGTTGCTCAGTCATGCTCAACTCTGCAACCCCATGGACTGTAGCCCACCAGGCTCCTCTATCAATGGAATTCTCCAGGCAAGAATACTGGAGTGGATTGCCATTTCCTTTTTTCCAGAGGATCTTCCCAACCCAGGGATCAAACCCAGGTCTCCTGCATTGCAGGCAGATTCTTTACCGTTGTGAGCCACAGGGAAGTCCTACGTGACAGGATAACCCTTGTCCAAATCCTACTCTTGAGGTGGGATATGTAGGAGCCAACTAGTAATAAAGGCAAAATAAATAACAGGCCATCAAGAGGGAACAAAACCTATGGCTTTCAAAATACTATTAGAAGTTAGACCAAAACTCTGGTGAGTTAGTTTGCTGGTAACAAGTACAGCTGCAGCTCTCTTTAATCATCATACATTTATCCTAAGACTTCTACAGAACACTAGTTTGAATTTAAGATATTCAAATTAGGCAATTCTGAGATGTCACTGCTGGAAAGTGTCAGAGGAAAAACCAAACCTCTTCAGCATACTTTCTCAAGGCCAGAGTTCTTCATAATCTACTCTCCAGGGAGTGATTGCAAAAGAATTTCCTTTAGAGGACTGAATACATTTCTTCGGGAGAAGAGATTTACATTTTAAATGATGTTTTAAAAAAATTTCCATTTAATTACTACAGTCAATTTTTGTTTTTCAGTTTCCAATTATTATTCTCAGCACAGGCTACTTACCATAATTTCTCAGCAAGTACACTTCTATAGATGGGATGGTTTTATTTTTTGTTAAGGCAATTGAAGATAAATGTTAGGAACCAATTCAGGGGGGTAAAAAACCCAAAGTATTTTCTGTTGAATGTGCCAGAAGTGTTGAACATGCCTTATTTTGGAATATCTCCTGCACCACAAGCTTAGCTTAGGTACACAGGGCCAGAAAGCTTGACGTACTGTTTGCTCACATGATAGGTTTCTTTTTTCTTTCCTTTCTAGCTATAACAAAGTTCCAAGGGCAATTTAAAGAAATCACAAAAGCTTTTCTCTAAGCTTCTGCCTAAAAGTTATTCTTCTCATCAGAATTTGGGGAGAACACTCAAATGAGTCATTTTAGTATGATGTAACCACGTCACCACATCATGGGAACTAGGTCCTGCCTTCCTATAGGTTCAAACAAATGAAGAAAGTTCAGAGGGAACTGTTTCCCACCTCACTTTTGTAGCCTTGGGGCTGACTCGATGATACATGAAACACTTTTAAACTACCTTGTGTGCTGTGCTTAGTCGCTCAGTCGTGTCTGACTCTTTGCGACCCCATGGACTGCAGCCCGCCAGGCTCCTCTGTCCATGGGGATTCTCCAGGCAAGAGTACTGAAGCGGGTTGCCATGCCCTTCCTTCTCCAGGGGATCTTCCCAACTCAGGGAGAGAACCCAGGTCTCCCTGGGTCTCCCGCACTGCAGGCGGATTCTAGTCTGAGCTACCCAGGGAAGTCTAAAACTACCTTAAGGGGTTTCATAAGAGAAAGCCAGAAAAGAGAAAAATAAACAAATCAGTTCTGAAACCAAACACAAATAACTTTTTTATTTATGGGGTATCATTTTACATCAATTCCATTAAAACCTAAAACCAGTTTGCTGTACTCAAGTTAGGTGGCATAACAATATTTCAGTTAAGCTGGGAGTCACAGGACTTGCACACGTTTATGAAGGTGATGCAAATACTGAGGACACGAAGCATTCACAGTTACAGGTTAGCTGCAGTTCATCGACAGTAACCCCGAGAAATGACCTCATGAAAAGAAGCAACCCACATTTTGGTCTCATTTACAGACACCCAACAGTTTAGTTGGTCAATGGATTCTATACATTTATTATACAACATATGAAATAATAAAAGATAAGGCTTACAGAGGTATTTTAGCAGTTGTAAGAATAAAAACCAAGGGCACAAACTAACTTTTAAAGCTTTCTGTATAAACTTCAAAAGCACTGTTAAGATGGAGACTGAGAGGCAACAGAAGTCTGTTGTTAATTCAGATCCTAGAAGTCTGTCTAGTCAGCTTTATAAAAACTTAGTTCAGAGGTCATGCTTCAAATAAGCTGCACGTAACATTATAGAGGATGATTATGGCAAATCAAATAATGCAATTTCCAACCTACCGCAACAGTAAACATCTAAAAGTTGGGTTCCATTATCACACAGTATTGCAACGTGGAGGCCAAAACACAACAGAAAGAGAGAAAGGGTGGAGATGTAGGTGATAAAGAAAAACCAGAAAAAGGCACCCTCATTTACTTAGCATTTGCCCATAAATAAGTGCTTGGTAACTGCTCAACTTATGTAACTCAGGGAGATTTTTATGAAAAAATATCTTATTACTTCTGGTTCTTCTTACCCTTAAAAATAACTGCATAAAATCACAGAAACCAAGGGCAAGCACACTGCAGTCACAAAGATTTATTTTTCAAGGGAATTCAGAGATTATTTGGCCTCTTCTAATAGGCAAGATCATCCTTTTGGAATACTTACTTCCATGTTACACATCATGAAATAATTTTTGCTTGGCTTTTCCAAAACCCCTGTCATCAAAATGTTCACTGTGTATTAAAATGTAACGTTTTCCCTGTAGCCATACTCTTATTTTGGGATTAACTGTGCTTACTGTTAAAAAATTCTCCAGTTTCTTACAGTACCTTTCAAAATAAGTTTAATGATGATTTCTATTTGCTTTAAACAAAACTAGAGTCAATCAAATTTAAGAACTGCTGCCTTTAAAGTGTGATTTGTTAACTTCATGGGACCCTTTTGAAAATGAATCAAGTTCTCCACAGATTGGAACCTGCCTATAGCCAACTGCCAATGGAGTTAACAGGCACCCGTCGGAATGGAAGCCCTTTCAACACACTGGTCTCAGGAGCTGTGCTTGCTGTCAACCTCTTCTGTTCTTTTCAGGGATGAATTTGTGCAAACTGGTGTGAATGTGTAAGGTAGAAGGGGAGTCTACAGCTTCTAAACAAGGAATGATAAAGTATGCTTAATCACTACAGAGTTTTTCAAACTTCTGGTTTATTTCACAGCAAACCAAACCTTTCTATTTGGTAGAAAAAGGAAGTGAATTTCATTCTACCAGGTCATGGTTTTGTATATGTACACACACTGTATATACATACAAAATTCCTGTCTTTGGTGGTTCACTTAGGGAAAAAAAAGGTATGAAAATCTGAACACTGTTTGCAAAGAAACTGAAATCATGGTCAAACAGTAGCATTGTCTGTGTGCTTTACTCATAATGCCATTTAAAGGTTCACATTTGACCCAAAAGGTTTTGGGGCCAGGTTTTGAAATAATCTGAACCTCTTCCAACTGGCACATGTTCAGTCATGGATTCTGCTCACAACTATGCATTCACTTGCTCAAATGCACCAGCAACTTTCACTTCGTTTAAGTCATTAGTCTACTGTGTTCTCACAAAACTTTAGGGACTAAGTTAAGTCATTCAATAGCACCAGAGAGTTGAGGGAGAAGCATGTTTTTTATACATTTCCTTGAGAAGGGTTAAGACAAGAAAAGAAAAAAAAAAAAAAACATAAAATACAAACCTAAAAATACCGTCCCGTTTGCTCCTGTTTCCTCACCCACATAAATAATGGCTATCACCTCTCTGTACATATTACTCAGGTAATGACGAGCGGCCCCTCCAGGAAAGGTCCTACCGTGTAATAGAGTTTTTAAGCTCAATGCTGGTGGTGTCGTGTCCACTGCCTGCAATGGACATTCTGCCAGGAAAAGCCTAGCATGAAAGAAACAAAAAAAGGAAAACAAAACAAAACACCTCTCACTTACAGTATAGTTCTTCCCCCACCCCCCGCCCCCGCAAAACTAGAAAATTAGACACCATGAAAGCTTAACTAAAAATTCAAGCCACAACTAAAAGTGCTCTGCAGTTATAAATTGCCAGCAAACCCTTAGGCTTTCATGGAGGCGGCAAAGTAAATTTTACTTAGAATGGCATAGAAAGCATCAGCAGAACAAACACTGACTAGAAGAATGCAAAAGAAAAAAAAAAAGCACTAAAAAAGTGTACAAGGGTTTAAAACCAATGGGAAAAAAAGGTGCAATTGTAATTTGTTCATCTGTACCTATATTCAAACTATGACAGCTTTAACATTAGAAAATCAAAACCTATATCCTGCATGGTAGAGATGATTTGTGGCATGGTATAGGTCTATATGTTCAATTATTCTAAGTTTCATCACTTCAAAATGCTAATATTTAAGTAAACCAAATTAGATTTGGCATAACGCCTCTGAAAGTTACGACTCCCACCTCCTTTCAAAGTTGGCCTCTTAAATAATAAGGTTAATTCTGGCAACATTTGCATATGGTAACAGCTGTTCTGTCTTGTGTTCTGAAATGCTACATTTTGAGACCAAAGAAAAGTGTAATTGGGTCATCTGAAAAAAGGGACTAGAAATATGCCACAAAAATTATTTTACAATACATTTTTGCAGAAATAATCTCTAGGTGAAGCTTTGTCTTTTTATACACATATACAAAATTTAAACAGCAATATACACATAATCACAGTGAGGACGTTGGCAAATTCACCAATCTGTAGTGTAAATACAAACTGCAAAGCAGCCTTCCAAGAGAACAATGCTACACAGCAAGCAGAGCTGGCCCATTCAATAGCAAACACCAAGACGTCCCTGCCAAAGGGAGACAGTGCAAGAAAGCAGCATGCGCTTGGACACAAACAGCGGTTTATGGCTAACGGCTGACATGACTGTGGTAACAGTGACTCTCTCGCTGCTATGCATAAAGTCCTAGGACATCTGTTTGTCTTTATACCACTCCACAAACTCGTCCAACAAAACTGGCCCTGAAGAGAGAGAGAGAAGAGAGGGAGGGAACAACACAGCTATGAGACTTCTCATGACAAGGCTGAGGAGCAAATGTGCGGGGGGCGGGGGGAAAGCGATGCCCACCCAGTACTTACATGCTCCATCTTCATCGTAGTTGCTGAGGTCAAGGTTAATTGTTCTGCTAAACTCTAGCACATTGCACCACTGGTCTTTATTAATAACTTTGTATTTTGATTGCTGGTGGGAGAAAAATAACATGAATTACTTACACAACAAGTCAGTTTCAACTGCTATGACAATCAACTTCAAGGTTAACACTCACGAAGGCTAACACTTTCCATTTGTGGTGTGTTAGGCACCATTCTAGGAGAAGGGTGAGAGACAGCAAGAGGGTAACTTTGGATGACAATTTTCATTACAAAAATATTATGGGGGCTCAACATAAAACAACAAATGCATCAAAGAAACACAACTTTACATCCCTAGAAATGAAATTTCTAGATGGCAAAAGTCCTTTTATGTAAAAGAGGGATAATATCCATTTCACAGAGATGTGGTAAGGATTAAGACAGATAATGCCTGTAATTTATGAAAAGCACTTTACTGTGTGGCACACAGTAAGTGCTAAATAAAGAGTTGCTCCCATTAACAGGCCCTGACGTGAACATCATGCTTCCTGTCAAGCTGTCAGCTAACAGCACATGCCACTGCAGGTTTACTCAACGAGACGGTGCTAAGTGCTGCAAGCAGTCTCGGGACTAGGAGGCCCAGCCACTGAAGAATTAGTGTCCTAATAATTAAAAACTTGCATCTAATCATACAAGGACTAAGAACAGCCATGAAACAGTTTTTCTCTTCCCCCCAGACAAGAAAAATATGCATATTCAAAATACAATATTCCTGTATAAAGATCTAAAAATAAAACCCAGTCTGATAATTCTTAAATCTTTGCCACTAAAATCGGGAACACTGGGAAACAAAACAAGTACATAAAAAGCAAAGAGAGTTGAGCCAATGGTTTGGAGGATGCAAACACAAGAAAAGCTCAAATAAAAGGATTACTGGGTCCTTTTAAAAGAAAAATGCAAGCTGGTGTGAGAGAGAGAACAAAGCACAGACTACAAGTGCAACTTTCTAAGCAACTAAAAGCAAAACCCAGTCACTGAAACAGTTGATGGTGCTCCTCGAACCATGTGAAGTCAAATCAGCTACAGAAGGACCTTCACACCCGGCCTTATATTCTGCCCAGCCTCCTGAGATCAGGAGCCCATTGTTACTCACTTTCCAAATAAAGCTAACATTTCTGAGGGTTGTCAGAGAAACTGGAAGAGATCACTGGTAAATACGGGCTGTCATGTAAGCAAGTGCTTCTTATATTAAAAACTAGTTTTCATACCTTTCTTCAGGAATCCCAGTTAGTAATGTTAAAAGCAAATTTTAATAACAGTTCTCAAAGAATCCTATCAGTTGGAAGTTTTTCTGGACCATTACACCAACAAGTTGTAAGGAAGATTATTTCAAGAGTGAAGCTAGAGTCAGGATAAAGTCCAGGATTTTCTCCAAGATCCAACAGCCTCATCCTTTCAAGCAAAAAGCAATTTTTAAAGGGGTTTGGGGACTGGAGGGCAAGAAGGAGGCTATATATGACAACTCAAGTAACTCAGACTTCCATCTCAGGTTCTTCAAGGTCTTAACAGTATTATTACACTGGCATCAGAGACGGTTCCTAATAACCAGCAGCTCAGAATTTCTCTCATTAATACTTAGAGCAAACAAACGATAACAATGGAGGGAAGTGCTGGGTTATTTTGAACACAAACGTGAAGAAAATTTAAACTGCAGGAGATACCAACTGAAGGAATTGGCCACTGAGACTGATCTAGGTCCCCAAGGTGCTTGGAGGTGAGAGTAGTTAAGGACATGTTACAGACTGAACTTAAGAGAGTGGATGGTTGTTCTCTAACCTTCGCTTCATCAAAGTGGAACTTCATCTAAAGCCACAAAATAAGGTAAATCTTGTTTTACTCTTGTTATAAAAAGCAGGACACCTAAACACAAACAAAACTTTTAAAGGGGGGGCGAGAGAGGAGAGTCCAGAGCTGCGCTGCCTGGAGCATTTGCAGGGGGCCAGGGGCATGTGCAGTGCACACATGGGGACGCTCGGGGATGTGTGCCCAGTGGCAGTAAGTATGTCGCCACTTCCTACAGGCAGGGAAGGAGACAGACAGAAAGGTACAGGAAAGGGTCAAGTAAAGGATACTTGGTAGTTCTAAGCAAGCAAACACACATTCCACAAAGTAACAATTTAGTACCTCTAAGAACTGGTGAAAAACTGGAAAAAGGGGCCAGATTTTTCCTAGTAACAGTCCCAACATGCACTTGGCAGTGTTTATGTCTAGGCTTCGCTGGTCCTTTTCCTGTTTAACAAACAAAAACAAGGATGAGCCAGGTGCCCCCAAACAATCAGTTTCAACAATCCAAATTCCTATTTCACTTCAGTGAGGAATTAGTAAACAGCTCCTGTATCATATACCATAAAAACCTGAATCAAGACTAAGGTAAGGGGAGGGGAGGTGGTCAGACATAATGGAAGGATTAAACAGTTTTGTACTATAGAATTTTACTGTGAGAAATATTCACATCAATTGAATGATCACCCTAATCTATGATTATTTCATGGGATATGTTTGTCATCTATGATTATTTCTTGGGATAAATAAAAATCCATAACTCAATCACTAGCTGTTTGACGTTTATGATTATCACTGACATCATAACTACTGATCCCCAAAACCTATAACTTAACTAAATAGAGTTTAAAGGTTTCAAATTTCATGCTTAGGAATCAGGTTTTCTTGAAAAAAAAATCTTTCTTCCACCAATTTTATTTCACTGGTAAATGTTTTTTTGGTACCTAAAAATGATGGAATTCAATGGAGCTCATAATGAACACTGGGGCTCTGGAGACTCTCCCATCCCCCACCCTGGGGGGAAGCAGTATGCCCACCTGTCTACCTGCTTCATGCTGCTTACCTTAGATTTGCTGCAAGCGACACCCAGGAGAACATCCCTAACTAACAGCCAAGTGAAAGACAACACTGCGTGGGGAATCCAGAAAAGACATTTACATAAACCTGAATGTGGGCAGATTAAGCTCCTTCTACTTAAATTTACAATTAAAAATGTTCATTTCTCACTGATCTTTCTTATTAGATTCCATTTGGGAACTAAAAAAGTGGGCAGGTTGTATGTAAAAGGACAGAGGACCTGGGACCTTGAGTGGTAACTTAGACATCAAATGCTAGCTAGCCTTCTCCTGGTATCTTAGTTTCAAAAAAAGTTTGCAAAAGTATCTTTCTACAAAGGGAGAAAGTGCCTGGCTGCTTCATGTGGAGTGGAATCTAAATGTTCACCAGATTAAGGGAGGATGCATGACCCCGTGCGGGCCACATATGCAGCCACACATACCTCCTGATAAAACTGTTACCTCAAGGATTCTAACAGTGAAGTGCTCTTGAGTACAAGGAGAATTTCTGGCCCTGACACTGATTTTAAAGTAAAGGACTTAAACAATACAGCAAACGTTAAGTGCCTCACTCAACAGCCAACAATGGAGATGTGCGACGGGTCTGCCTTTCGGCCCCAGTTGTGAAGCACAACGACCATGCAACCACAGGCCAGGTCAGATGGCTCTCAGTTAGCCGGCCCTGTCCTGGCCACACAGCTTAAGCCTGAGGAGGGCTCCACAGTTCAGGGCAAGGAGGGGCCTGCCCTCCACAGCCTGTCCTGCCCTCCCTGCCCACGTGTATCGCCCTGCTTGGGGTGCAGGGCTCACTCCAAGGAGAGGACGACAGTGGGAACGGAGCCCTCGTGGGGGCCCTCCTCCTGCCCCCGAGCCTCACGGTGTGTTGCACTGCATGGCTCACACTTCTGCAATGCACTGTGCAAGCAAACAGAAAACTTCCTCTTGTCCTGTCACGTGGATGCAGCAGCAGCAGCATACCCCGCTATGGAGCACCCTCCGTAGTCCCATGGAAGAAAACCAGGGGCCTGTTGAAAACACACGCGGCTCCACGGGACCGGGCCCCAGTTGAACAACAGCTCAGGCAACACTGGGCTGAGGGCACGGACGCTCTGGAAATGCTCTCCCTCTGAGGAGCCTGTAGTCGTTCACTAGACCTAAAGTCGCCAGTCTTGCCCTGATACACACTGTGCCTTCTTCCAACACCATCCACATCCCCATCACAATGGACATACACTAAGGTGACAGAAAAGAAGATACAGAGGACCTGGACAGACTCTTGGAAACAGTGCAACCATCTGACAAACTGGTGATCATGAAGGATTTCAATGCATGTGTTTGGCAGCGATGCCAAAACATGGAGGGAAGGCATCCGACTCACAGGGCTGGAAAGCCGAACAGCACTCACTCACTCCTGCTCTGCCAGGGTGCCAGCCAGCAGCTCGCAATCACTAACACCATCTTCTGCCTAGCAAACAAGAGAGAGATATTACGGAGGCACTCGCGATCCGAACAGTGGCATCTCGCTGATCACCAGTGTGGCCTTGGGGTGGTGTGAGGCTAGGTGCAGATGACCATGACTGCAAACACTGCGGATTCCTGGGGACAGCACGACTGAGAGCTCCCAGAGCAAACATCTATGCAACAGCGAAATGGAGACACGCCGGGGGTTCTCCGACAGTGATCCTAACGGCACTCTCAAAGGTGTTCCCAACTAAGTGAACTGAATCTCCCAGGATGCTATGAAGCAGCCATAAACACTGAACGTTGTTTTTTTTTTTTTAAATCACCGTAACAAATCCAAGGAATATGGCTAGAAACATCTAGAAGCCCTTCGAAGGAAATTCAAATAGTACACAGTCAACACTGACCCTGTGACTCTGCTTGTGGAGTATCAGGGTGCGAGAGGCAGACTTTGGCATCTCAATACACAAATAACAATGTTTTTGCAAGGCAATTACTTAATTAAGCTCAACTATTGACACTTCCTTTAAAACATAAAGAAAAAAAAAGATCTGTCAACTGGCACAGTTTTTACACAGTCATTTTATTTGGTATAGATTCTATTATTGTACTCTTACAAGAAGATATTATCTGAAACGTGAGGTTTGTGTGTGTTAGTTGCTTAGTCGTGTCCAACTCTTTGTGACCCCATGGACTGTAGTCTGCCAGGGTCCTCTGTCCATGGAATTCTCAAGGCAAGAATACTGGAGTGGGTTGCCATTTCCTTCTCCAGGGGATCTTCCTGACCCAGGGACTGAACCCGTGTCTCCAGGCAGATTCTTTACTGTCTGAGCCACCAGGGGGTTACAAGCACCTAAGTAATGTCAATGAAGAAAAATTCAACCACTGTTTCTAATTTTATGGCTAACTTTTATTGAGAACTGAACCAGCAACTGTTTTAAGTGCCTTATACTCAATACTCACGTAATACGAGAGGCTATTACTATATGCCTATTACAAGAGGCACTATTATAATCCCCAATTTATAAATAAGGAAACCGAGGCACAAGAGTTAAATGACCTTGATAAGAACTGGGTCTGAACCAGGAGACTGATTCCAAACCTGAGCATTTCATCATGTACCCATTTGCCTCCATCTCAGCTCTTCAGAGGTCAACTCACTTTACAAACAACTGCTGAGCAAATTCAGGCAATAACCAGAGGGTGACGTTAAAGGTAAAGCCGACAAGATGTTCACAGTAACGAACCTGGGATTAAATGACCACATATTCCTCCTACTTTTGTCCTCACCCATACCTGCCTTCTGTCTTCCTCATAATTTACAGTAAAAGTATAAGGAAGAAGTAGCAAGGAGTGGGTGTATGTCTGGTGTGTTGTGAGTTGTATGGAGAGGGAAATCAGACAAACACATTGGTTAAGAAATAAGAACTGACTCAAGTTAGAAGAGGAAATGAATCAAATGGTCACAGCAGATCTCCGGTTAAAGCTGGACAGAGTTCTCTGATAACAGGGTGTTGAACATTAAGACCCAACAAATCTTCCCCAGCACACCCTATGAGTGACATCCACAACCATTCCACTAAATGGAAGTGACTAGGACATTAGCTCTAACATGTGACCTGAAACACCTCAAAAACTAAATAAAACCACTCGCAGTTGGCAAAGTTGGGTGCATCATGGGACAGGCTGTGAGGACTGACTTCTGACAACAGATTAACCATCGCAGGATCACCTCTCAAGAAGGCGAGATTTCCACTAGTACCTTCTGCCTCCACAAAACCTTGCAATACAACTTCTTAAAGCTTCACTGCAAGGGCTGAAAAGCCAGGACTCGCCCCTAAAGAAATCTCCCATTCTTTTCTTGCTCACTGCCCTTCTTCTCTCTCACCCCACAAAACCCCCGCTTCTACCCATCCAGAAGCCTCTCTGCCTCAGTCACTCAGAAGGGCTGCACTCAGCTCCCATCTCCCCACCGAGCCTAGAAACTTCCCTCCGTCCTCCCCGTCATTCTCGCCTTCCAGCACCTAGGCTGTGGGAAGACCTCCTAGAGTGGGCCATCAATTCATGGTGTCAACTCTCAGCCAGGCTAAGATGCTGTTATTCTCAGCGCCTCACTCAGCCCAACATTCACCCTTCTCAGAACCCCAAGAGGCAACTCCTTCTACGGCTTTCAGCACAGTACCTTGTCTTTGCCCCAGAGAATACAGAAAAAGCAAATTTAACTGATATTTAATAACCAGCATCAGAGCAACCAAAAAATCACTCTATTTAGTCTTTTATCTCATTCTCTTTGTCCCATCTTATTCTCACTAGGTCCTTTTAAAGGAATCAAGCCAAAAATGACTGTTTTACTTAAAGGAATCCACAACATTTGTTTATGCAATAAAATTTATATTAGGGGAAAAAACACTAAGCATAAAAATATTCAAGACAAAATTCCCCTTGCAGAAGGAACTGGCCATTTCAGGCCAAGTCTCTCTCCCACCACCTCCCTGGAACAGGACCCCCGGACGGTGACAGTCTGAGTCAGGAAGGCGGTGTGGCTTAGGGACAGAGCCGAGGTCCTCAGTCTCATCGTCTGCACGGTGACAAGACTGAACCAGTGTCCTTCACAGCTTCTCGCAGCTCCAAAGCGGCGCGATTCCCTGACGTCTGTAAGACTATATGTAAGCTCAAGTGAAAGTAAACTTGCGAGGAAAATAATATGACTTTATAATCAAGTGCTATTTTTAATCAGCTACAAGGTTCTAAGGTGAGGGAGAAAACAAGCATACCCTTAGGACTATAATTTCGGTGGCGAGATGTTAAAAACGGGCATTTTATCTTTTCCTGGTGTTGTACTATAGTTTCTTCTCAGGTATATTAAAGGGTGGAGTCAAGTGTAAGTTGCTCAGTTGTGTCTGACTCTTTGTGACCCCATGAACTGTAGCC